ACATGCCAAGGTTTACACCTTTTCATGATTCTAAAAGTCCATAGCATTTATCCAGGGAATAATTAAGCACAGGAGAGGGATGAAAAGCATGTAGGGAGAGCCTAGAGGAGATTCAACCCCAAACTCTTAAGTGAATTTGACTTTTCTCACTCTGTCTTCTGGGTTAACAGTCTTATGCATAGTCCTTAAGGACACATCTGTTTCTCATGCAAAACTTCAGGTCACATGTACAAAAAGACATTTGTGTATACAAATGAGATAAGGGTAAGCAAATCTCAACACCCACATGGACACAGGTGTCAGTGTTTTAATGGAGAGTTATTGAAGAGCACACTTAAAATGTCACATTTCACGAAACTTTCCTCCATCCAAAAATGTAAAAATGTGGCTGGTTTTATTTGTAAAACTGAAATTACTCTCAGAGAGACTTAGCTCACCTTCCCATGGCAACCAAAACAAATTTGGAATTTAAAGAATATGAAACTGCCGATATCTTCTTTAAAAAGATCATATGGACATGGAGGGAGGCATTGGGAACCGGGACATTCTCATAAACATTAGGTTTGTCTAAGCTGCCTCCATATTCAGTCTGTGGGCTCATACATAGCAGAGTGCGTTTTTAATACAGATATTAGCAGTGTCTCTTCCCGACCAAGCGGGAAAAGCTGTCAGAGGTCCCGCCACAGGTTTCAGCCCTTCACAGTCCATGTTTGTTACAATCAGGAAGTGGAGAGGTGGCGGGGAACCTTCTTCAGAGTTCTCCCGGCCCCTCTCGCACACCACAGTCCTATCATCCCTGTCACATCGCATTTGGAAAAGTCTTCATTGGGAGGGTGAGTTCACAATCACCTATAAAACACGATCACTGTGCAGTAAACCCTGCCAATGCCCTTCACATGTCAGTGCGGCTGCTCATATATCATCAGCACAATCAAATCCGTCCCCGCACCTTGGGCTGCTGCTTGGGTTTCCCTGCTAATGCATTCCCGCGGTGCCCGCCTTTCATGTTCTGACTTTGCTCAGAATAAAAACGACTGGGTGTCCCTACTCTGTATATTCTGAAACGCAAAAGAATCAATTAAACTGGCCATATTTCCTTCAGGGGGGCTACTGCGGTTCCCCAAACAGCTTAAGCTGTCTTCTCATAGTTTATGATGTCAGCAGGATCTCCGGACTGAAATACGGCCTTGAAATCTCACCCCACCCCCTCCCTGGCCCTCTGTCTGCAGTATATATTATGCTTGTACTTTTCAGAGACAGCTGTGTGAATTAATGAACTGATGTGAGAATCAGAGTTGGCCTACAGCCCCATTTAGAAGTCATGGCGATGACCTCATAAAAACAGCAAAGAATGCTTACAGTTTGCTTGTAAAGTAAATCCATTTCTTAATAACTTGGAATGCCCACATAATTCAGCACATATTTTAACCCAAAATGATCATTGCATAAGACAATGAAAATTTCCCATGAAAAAGACATTTAGCCAACGCAGGCAACTATAAACTTTAATTGCTATTTCACAGTGTGTTCTCGTTGGTTCTCCGGGGAGTATAGAATATCATTCTTGCACCTGCACTTTAACGCCAGAGGTATAGTATTTCCACCATTAAACATTTTTCATTAAAGCACTTCATATAGAATTAGTCTAATCTGATTTTAACAAAAGTATTCTATATTTAGTTGTTCACACTGTATTAGCCCAAACCGTTAGCACCAGAAAGCTTGTCCTTTTGTTCGCTGGCAAAAGCGAAAGGGTGGGTCCGTGTCCACTCACTCCAGAGATGGCCCTTCCTGTGTGCGCTGTCCTTTGAAACAAACACAGCGCGTCTGAATGAAGTCCCCCTGGGAAAACTGGGGGTCCTAGAGGCAGGGAGACACGGGGCAGCCCAACAGGTCTGCAGACCCTTCTCCTTTCCCCGCGAACTGTCGGAAAGCCCCATGGAGCAGCCGCGCTTAGGAAGCAGGGGAGGAGGCGGGATGTTTATGCTGGGCTAGAACTGAGAAAATGGGCAAGAATTTGCCTCTTGCGGTTGGAGTTTTATAGCTGTTATCTTGCTGGCAATCTTAGGGGAACAGCTGCAGGGTTTTAGGATGTGTGACTTGAGCAACAAGGAAAAGGCCCTTTCTAAATGTTTCACGTTAGACTGGAGAGGAGCGAGCAGCTAAGTGACCTTGAAGGAGAACTATCCAGTTCCAGGGAACCCACCGGCCCTGAAAGGCGAACCTCCTCTCTCGCACATCCAGCATTAATTGCTGGGAATTGAGAACACCTGAAGCAAGTTAAAGTCGCTCTTTCTGAACAATGGTTCTAACTGTTTTTCAAGTGAGTCCACAAGTACTTTCCTGGCTTAGCTTCTTGGGTTTAGCATTTATTTAAGACATTTTAATGTTATTTCTTTTATTGATGTTTCAACTTGACATGCAATCATATTTCATGTGATATACGAGTTTAGAGTTAGCTCCGCTAAACAGACGCTGCTATGCTTGACTTCAGAAAAACAAGACAAAACAAAAAAACCTCAAAATGAAATAAAACAGAAAACCCAGTGTGCCAAACAAAGACGGGCCACAGGTGCACACTCATATGATGCAAGGAAACTTGAAGAAATAAACTGATAAAAAGGTTTTCATCAGGTTTAGTAACATATTAAATCTTCTAACACAGTTCTGAGTAAATGCCCAGTGGCTGACTTCACACAACACAAACCTGTACTTGGGTTTGGTAAGTGCGAGAGGCTGGGTGAACACAGACCAACAAGCTGACATTTGACATTTGACCTGCAAACAGGGCTACTTCGCATGGCCTCAGCCAGCAGTTCCAAGGCCTCCCTGATTGCCACCTGAAGTGGGGACCAACCAGGACGGTGAGCCCCAGGAGGGAAGTGAGGCCCTGCATGGAGAAAGCTGCAGAGGAGGGGTCCCATCTGAGGGGCCCTCGGTTAACAGAGGCAGGGGAGAAAAAGCACCCCAATGCAAGACCTCTTGCCGCACAGTAGGGAGTCAATCTTGTCTGCACTGAAGAAGTCTGCATGCTGTTGTCAACAGAACATGCAGAGTCATTGCTGGGAAGTGTTTAACTGGTTCTGGAAAATCACTTCCCATCTGTCATTTCTCTGGCAAGGGAGGCAGGTAAAGTCCGTGGAGGCCCTGGGTTTCTGGGAGGGGGTGGCTGTGATGGCCCTAGCTTGCCTCAGAGGGCACAAGGTCAGGGGAGAGATATTAGAGCTCTGACCTTAGACAGGAGAGAGGTGTTCAAAGCCAAAGACTCCTCGTCTGTCAAATGGACAATAAATGTGTGTTGTAGTGAGACTTAAATGACAAGCAGGCAAAGCACCTGGTACAGAGTAGGCACTCGGGTGGTATTTTATAAACATCATCATCATAGAGGCCGCAGCAGTAGGAATAAAAGCCCAAGATGGGCTCTGGCAGGTAGGGTAGCTCTGTTGGTTAGAGCATCATCCCAATATGTCAAGGTTGCAGGTTAGATCCCTTGTCAGGGCACATAGGAGAGTCAACCTATGAATATATAAATAAGTGGAATATATAAATAAGTGTTTCTCCTCTTCCTCCCACCCGAGTCCTCTGTTTAGTAAGGTGAGGAAGCTGGATTAGTAAGCTCTCACAACTGGCTTGGAGTTTGAACATGAAATGGTTTCAGTTTTCTAGCATCTGCTCTGTTGAATCTCGACTCTGGCTGATTTTCAGTTTTAATGATGTGACTCCAAGTCCATCTTCTTAAGTCACTTCAATTTGTTAAAACAGTTTTTTGTTCTTAAAGTGCACTTTGGTTGTTTTATTTTTTAAAACTTGACCCTCATATCCCTTTCAAGCTTTTCTCCTCCCTGGACCAGCACAGGCCGGAGGGGCCTGGAGGGAAGGGGGACTGCCTCCCTACACCCACTCTTTTGCGGTTGAATGCGCAGGAGGAAAAAGGAGGCCAAGTGGGGTCAGCCTGTCCGAGGGCGCCTCACGGGCTTGCTGTCTGTTTCTGTCCTGTGTCGGCTTCTCCGCGCCATCCGGAGTGGCTCACAGCTGCCTCTGTGGATCACGGGCCTGGGGTGCAGGTCTGGTTCCTCGGCATCGCTGAGACCCAGGACCAGCCCGACACCTGGCTCCCTGAGAGAAGCAATCCCTCAAAGCCCTCTCTGGATACACCGCCTTAGGTCTGAGTCCTTCGCCTCCACTAGCACTCCGCTTGCTTTGGGGTGAGGTGAGTGGAGTGGGTTGGCCAAGCGTAGTCAAGTTTCTGTTGTAAAGGCACTAGTGTCCCCATACCAGGGGACAGCACATGAGATGAACACCTTTGGGGGAAAAGTAGTTACATGGCCCTATACCATAAAGACCAAAGGAGTGGTCTTTGAAAAGAACCCCCTAGAACTGCTGCCTCTTTGTGTTGTGTTTTGCTGTTGTAATAAAACCATGGAGATGGGAGAAGAGAGGAAAGAAAGTGAAAGAAGGGTGGGGTAGAAACTGGGACATAGAAAATTGAAAAATAACACAGTGACTTCTTTGACAAAGAATATATTCCTGATAAATTTCCCCACTATTGACTAAAAGGAAAAATTCCCAGCAAAAGCACGGAAATGAGTTGAGCTGACCCAGAATCCTTGCAATCACCACAGCTGGACTCCGGATTTCAAAGTGGTTAAGGTCTCATTATCTAAGAAGAGGATGCAAAAGAGTGGGGAGCAGCCCTGAGATTAGCCCTGTGGGGCATGTCTGCAGGGAGGGGACATCTGTTCCTCCGTTCCCTCTTTCCTACTCCGCTTTTACACTGGACACGACAGGCTTAAATCGCACAGATAGCATTTTCCTTGTGATAATAATGAAGTGAGTAGCTACTGCTACAATAATGCTCATAACAATCAACCACAAAAATCTCAGCCACAGACCAAGACCTGCAGGGAGGCAGGGGTCAGCTGGGCTGGGCTCGGCTCGCCTGCTCCATGCCTGTGTCACCCTCCTCCAGCAGGCTAGCTTGGGCCAGTCTTCTCATGGACATGGCGCAAGGGGGCAAGCCAGACCACAAAGCCACTGTCCAGGGCTTTGCCCACAACGACATCCTTGCTAACATTTCATTAACCAAAGCAAGTTACAAGAGTGAACCCAAATATAAGGGGTGGCTAAAATGTCCCTTCGTCTTGAGAGAGCTACAAAATCACATGGTGAAGTGCAAGAATACAGAGACTGGGTAAAACTGAAGCAGTAATACGATTTTGCAAAATAGTAGCTAAAATTTTGGAAAAGACAGGTGAGGATAAACAGAAAATTAAAACTTATTCCCTAATCCCACCACCCACCCACCAGTAACCATGATTAATAATGACTTTATCATTCTGGTACTATTTCTATGGAAAAAATAAAAATTCTTTAAAAAAAATTTTTTCCATAGAGATCAAACTAAAATAGTAATAAGGGTTTAAAAAATTTCACCAAATTATATTAGAAGCATTTTTTTCTGTGCCATTAAATATTCTTGGACAATTTGCTTCATGCTGCAGTCCAGCATACAGAAATGCTATATATTATTTAATCATTCCACTGTTATTGGACATTTAGTTTGTGACACTATTTTCTTAATAAATAGCAGGATGTCCCCTGGTGACAAAAATGACACTTCTCTAAGCCACAGAAGTGTGTAGAAACATGCTGAATAGGCAAGTTGTACAGCAGGTAGGGAATGAAAATCAGGCCTGAAAAAAATGGTAATTCACTTATCCAGACGGACGCTTAGATGAAATCTGTTTCTTAGCTGTTAGTAAGCTATATTTTAAATATAAAGCAACAACACAGAACCATGGTATTGCATAAGAAATAGTACATAGCCCTGGCTGGGTGACTCAGTTATTTGGAGTGTTGTCTTGTACACCAAAAAGTTGTGGGTTTGATTCCCAGTCAGGGCACATACCTGGGTTGTGGGTTCAATCCCTGGTCAGGAGCTTGTGGGAGGCAACCAGTCCATGTTTCTCTCACATCAATGTTTCTCTCTCTCTCTCTGTCTGTCTCTCGCTCTCTCTTCCTATCTTCCTTCTCTCCCTCTCTCCCCCTCACTCTCTGTAAAAAAAATCAATAAAAACATATCCTCAGGTAAGGATTAGGAAAAAAATAAAAAGTAAGAAAATAGTACATAATGTCCATATCTGCCAACCTAACTTTATAGTGTTTTGCTTTATATGTAACTAGAGGCCCGGTGCACAAAATTTGGGGGGGTGGGGAGTGGGGGGTTCAGGTGTCCCTCAGCCCAGCCTGTATGCCCTCCAATCTAGGACCCTTGAGGGATGTCTGACTGCCCTCTCACAATCCAGGACTGCTGGCTCCTAACCACTCCCCTGTCAGCCTGATTGACGCCTAACTGCTCCCCTGCTGGCCCGATTGCCCCTAACTGCCCTCCCCTGCTGGCCTGGTCACCCCTAACTGTCCTCCCCTGCCAGCCTGGTCACTCCTAACTGCCCTCCCTTGTCAGCCTGGTTGTCCCTATCTGCCCTCCCCTGCTGGTCTGGTCGCCCTCAACTGCCCTCCTCTGCAGGCCTGGTTCCCCCCAACTGCCCTCCCCTGCAGGCCTGGTTCCTCCCAACTGCCCTCCCCTGCAGGCCTGATCAACCCTAACTGCTCTCCCCTGCTGGCCTGGTCCCCTCCAACTACCCTCCCCTGCAGGCCTGATTGCCCACAACTGCCCTCCCTTTCAGACCTGGTCCTTCCCAACTGCCTTCCCCTGCTGGCCATCTAGTGGAGGCCATCTTTTGTATTGAAATGATGGTCAATTTGCATATTACTCTTTTTTAAAAAATATATTCTATTGAGTCTTTACAGAGAGGAAAGGAGAGAGATAGAGAGCTAGAAACATCGATGAGAGAGAAACATTGACCAGCTGCCTCCTGCACACTCCCCACTGGGGATGTGCCTGCAACCAAGGCACATGCCCCTGACCAGAATCGAACCCGGGACCCCCGAGTCCGCAGGCCGACGCTCCATCCACTGAGCCAAACCGGCTTCAGCTGCATATTACTCTTTTATTAGATAGGATGCCCTTTTCAGCAGTAGAAAAGTACTAATAGCCAGCAATTAAATGCCTGGCTGAATGTTTCCAAGTGGATTTCTAATGACTATGCCATTCAATCAGAGGAAATGTTATGCCATGAATGGTTAATTACTTTAAACTAGATGCCCAGTGCACGAATTCACGCACCAGTGGGGTCCATTGGTCTGGCCTGTGGGATTGAGTCAAAACTGGCTCTCTGACATCCCCCGACAGGTTCTGGATTGCAAGAGGGTGCAGGCCAGGCTGAGGAACCCCACTGGTGCACGATCTGGGCTGGGGAGGGATGCAGGAGGTTGGCCAGCCGGGGAGAAACCACAGGAGGGCTCCAGGGCGTGTCCGGCTGGTCTGGCTCAGTTCTGATCCACCAGACCCCAGCAGCAAGCTAACCTACCAGTTGGAGCATCTGCCCCCTGGTGGTCAGTGCACGTCATAGTGATTGGTCAACCGGTCGACTGTCTGCTCCCTAGTGGTCAGTGTATGTCGTTGCGAGCGGTTGGGCGCCCTTAACATATCATTAGCATATTTTGCTTTGATTGGTTGAACGGATGACCGGACAGTTAGCATATTAGGCTTTTATTATATAGGATTATATAGGATGGTTGAGAAGTTTTCCTTTTTCAAAAATAGCATGCAGTTACTCACTCTGGTCACTAGATGGTGCTTTTGTGCACAATAACTCCTGGCTTTGCCACCTTTACTCCATCCCTCCTAAAAAGTGATTTATTTGACATTAAAATATACCTTCACCTTCTTAACTAATTAGACTTTTAGCAATAATTAACTATTTATTATGAAAAAATGAAAAATATTTCTGTATCAAATATATCAAAACAATCAGAAAAATTGTCTAATATGCAACCTACCAGACCTCCTCTATAATAATATGGTATGAAAGCTCTTTCCAAAGAAAAGGGTAAGTTGTTATCAACTTTTGCTTCTCTAAACCAACAGATCTGCTCAAAGAAAACAGTACACAGCTTAGTAGGGGTACTGGCTGAAACTAATTAATGTATTAAAAGCTTAGTTCTTCATAAGTTTGTGGGTTACAAACTCACAGCATAACTTCTTAACTAAAAATGTGATTGATTTAATTTTATTTTTTGCACTCCAGTTCTGGAGCCTGATTATATTAAAAAATATTGGGCCAGTGTTAACCCCCCTAAGTGAGGATTTTGCTGCTCTTCTATCTTCCACCTCCCCCTTCATTCCTTTGCAGGAGCAGCAACACAAGGCTTTGCAAACAGAAACTGGTGTTAGGCAAGCAGGTAGAATGGGAGCACAGTCATTTCTTAGCAGTGCTGTTGTCATCAGCATCCATGTAGCTTTCTTCATGGGGAGCTCTCAGAATATACATCAGGTTATCTTATGACCAAAAGGATACTCCAAACACCTTGAAGCTCTATAAAAGTTTCCATCATTCACTAATAAATTAATAATAAACCTCTTTGGTAGAAAGATACCCGAAATAGCAACCCCAATTTGCAAAATTCCACAGGACATCCAAAGAGACAGGGCTTGCTCTGTGGGTCTCCTAAAAATCTCTGCTTCACTTCTTTTCCTTTGTGCTAAAACATAAAAAAAAAAAAAATCTATGATTTTCTGGGGTATCACTGTTGAGTTTATCCTCAAACTGTTACATTTTTAATCCAATTCCAATCATGTAACATCATGACATCTGTTAATTCAAGACAGTTCTTCACTCAGAAACCAAATAAACAGGAAAAATGATGAAAAACTCACCAGAAAATATTCTCTCTTTGAGAATAAAAGGGTTTGGTGAGTAAATATCAAAAGCAATAATCAATAATATGAACAGTTAGTCAGATTTAGCACAGATAAGCTGGTAGATGAATGAATTCTTGATTTTAAAACGTTTATTAAGTGTGAGGATAGCTCACAGGTCAGCGTGGAGAGGGTGGGTAAGGTGTGAACACCACCATCACCTGCAGACCCCAGATCACCATGAGCAGAGCTTTCTTTACTCACCTTGCTCCTACACAACCATGGTTTACACTCCCTCCTTTCTCAACCAAGAGTGTGATTGAGTCAGCGGCCACTTCCCTATTTGTGATCTAGCCAATAAAGGGGCAAATGAGCAAAGGAAAATTCACTTTCCATTTTTGTTTGGAAAGAATAAAACATTTGAAATGGAAAGTATTTGTGTATCATTCTGCAAAATAAAGTGTATAGGTATCTCTCCTATTCCCTGAATGAAGCCCAGATCCCCAGCCTTCTGTAGTCTGACCTTGACCCATGCTTCCTCCATTTCCTCCAATCACAGTTCTCCAGGCACATTAGATCTCTATCCAGAGCCCTCTCTGCTCCCACACCTTTACCCTGTTTTCTTTACTGTATTTTTCCTGTTTCAGGTGAACATCAAGTTTCCCGACTCTTAAAAGTAACAGCCATCTTCATTAAATCTATATCCTCTCTGGGTACCAGTTCAATGGTTTCATCCCTTTCGTGGTGAAACCTCTGGCAACAGGGAACTTGTGTCACCTCTACTTCACCTTCACTCACTCAATAACTGCCACACAACTTCTGCTCACATCACTGGGCCGGAATCACCCCACCACGGCTACCAAGGACCGGCCAATTTACAAACTGGCTCAATTCTTCTGGTTGTAATCTTGACGTTGTTGACAATTCTTCTTGAACTTTCATGTCCCTTGGTTTTAGTCAACAGGCTCTGAGGGCACTCACACTTCTCTGGCTACTGCTCTTTTACACACACACACACCCTACACTTATTATTTTACTTACTAGAGACCTGGCGCACAAAATTTATGCACAGGTAAGGTCCCTAGGCCTGGCTGGTGATCAGGGCCAATAGGGGCCTTCCGGCTGCCGGCCAGGGCCTTCCTTCATTCTGTGTCACTCTCTGTTGGTCAGCGCACATCATAGCAAGCAATCGAACTCCTGGTCTCCCGGTTGAACTCCTGAGGGGACACTTTGCATCTTAGCCTTTTACATATATAGATAAGGAAGTAATTATTTTTTCAACTACAAGCAACATAAAATATAATTTAAAATATAAGGGGGAACATC